GTGGTGATAAAGACTGAGATAAGCACCCACCCAAAGAGTATCGTTTCTCGTTGGTGTCAAAATTTTCTCCTGCGGTTGCGCCGGACGTATCCGTACAAGAGGAAATTGTACGGCGTGACCACCTGTTGCTTCTCCATCAACATTCAAGTCGACATCAAACAAATAGAAGATGAAGCCGAACAACGCTGGACCGAACCCTAAACAACATGAATAAACGAACGATCAGCTCGCTTACGGTTCTTTTGCATTTTTAAATGAATGTATGGTTTTTTTTACTCACCTTGACAGAGTCCTCTGATGCCTGTCACCACACCTTGCACAGTGCCTTGTTTATCCTTATCCGATAATATGCTAACAAACGCGCTTATTGAAGGGTACGTTATACTACTCATGGCTGCCAGTATACCCGCCGCCCACATCATCCAGTATCTGAATGGAAGGCATGCAAGTATGAGAAAGAACACTCAGGAATTCCAAGGAAGGACGTTGACCAATTAGAAATTTTGTTACTTAAACCGACAAGTGGTAAACAGAATGAACAGCAAATAAGAACCAAAACACTGAACGACAAAATTACGCCTAAATCAGAAAAAACTCACTGTGTTCCAAGCCCGTACCAAGTGAGTTGCACTAGTTGAAAAATGAGACCTAATGTGATTACATGCTTCATTCCAAAATACGTAGTCAGCACTTGTAATACTCCTGTTTGTGCTACCACTGATAGGATTCCAACCAGACCAATGAACGCTGCCACGGCTTCTGGCGAGAACCCAACAACCTGGAACAATTACCCAGTATTCAATGACATAATTATGAAAACGAAAAATGTTTTAACACCGCCAATCACTAAAGCTCAGAAAGGATATAATCGGGTGTTAGCAGGAACAGTGAAGAAGCAATCGAAAATTCAGATTTAATTCAGAAAACCGTCGTTTTCGACAAAGTAGAACACCAACCCTACATAGTGAACACTTAAAAAACACCCAAACTAAATGTCACGTTTGACTTCTGCAGAAGCATCTATAAATCTTTCAAGCTCACCAATTTCAAATAGACGAAGAAACATGAAAATTGACCCGATTCTGGTAAATATGAGAGAAAAACGATAAGAGCCAATTGAAGCACCTGAACATTTACCAAATTAGCATTAGCAACAGAAAGTGCTCGATAGACATTGAGATTCACTAACCAGACTGTCCTCCCAAACGAGACGTAATGTGCCAAACGGATCAGCGCTTTCCCAGCTAATCACGTCGTTCGCAGAACGCTTCGGAGGCAGCGATTCTGGGACACGAAACAGGATGAAGAGCACATCTATTATTGCGATAATAGTAGCCTAAAACATCTGTATCTACAAAATGCGTTAGCTAAGAAAATAAGCAAGGTTTGGGGGAGTAACTGAACCAGAAGACTATCGATAACACGGGCAACGCGAAACGCAGAGAGTTACTGAACGAATCAAGTTCTGTGTCGCTTTTTTCTGTGGATTAGCTTGCGCGCTTCACTGATCAATGCGTTCATCTAACAGAAAAAAATGAAACGGGTAGAGCTCCTTCACTGAACTTTGAAGGATTACCTCGACCACTTACAAACGTGCTGCTGTGGCTTAAGTGCTCACCCATGACTTCAACCCCA